TAATTTTGTTGGACCGAAGTAGTTATGTAGAAATCTTAAGCAATGCTGCCAAAAATTTTTCTATATTGGAAAAAATATATATATGTTTTAATAAGTCATTTGAATAGTGCCCACTTAATATTTATTAAATATAAAGATTATTTATTTAAAAAATTAATGATATATTTATAAATGATTATTGATATATTTATAATTTCTTTTTGTTGAGTAAATATTTATTTGCTGTGAATATTTAATTGGCATTATTCAAATAAATATTTATTAAAATTCAATGTATTAGGTGTTGGAATTAATTCGTAGCGTTTTTTAATGAAAGAATGTTATTTATTTCACATGAGCATTAAAAAATACATTAATGAAAGTACTTCCCATCACTTGTAAAACGCTACGAATTAATTCCAACACCTAATATTTTTTTCTCGGTGTAATAACCAATTTGAGCGTCGTATATAATTATTTTAATAGGCCAACAAAGTTATTTTTAGATTTATATCTGGTTAAATTTTTAAATATACAGAGAAAAGATTTCTTTAAATTAAACCAAATGCATTGGAATAGTCCATGTATAAATGAATGTTTAAATTAAGAATGTGATTCTTTGCATTATAAATAAATCTTTTCGATTAAACAAAAAATGTTTCGTTTAAAATTAAATTTGTTTCAATGAAACAAATATAAATAGAATTCTAACGCGCGTGAGTCCAAATAAATCTTTTTCTCTATGTATTTCAACAAAGTCGTTCTTTCCGTGTAGAATAAAAATTTGTTGTTTTGACTGAAAAGTAAATTGTGTGTATATAGTTTTCTGTGTATAGTATTTTCTAAAATTTCTTATAAATACATATGGAAAGAATGATTTTGTTAAAATATCTAAAAATTTAGTTCCAACAAAATAATTATATTGAAGTATAATGAGCAATGTTGCAAAAAGTTTTGACATTTTATTTTTTAGCAACCAATCCTTTGAGCATTTATAACTATTTTGATGATCCAACAAAGTTATATTCACATCTGTATTTAATTAAATTAATTAGTAAATATTTTAGCAAAACCGTCTTTTCCGTTTAAAATTTACAAAATTAATAGAAATTTAATAAAATAATTAAACAATTGATTAAAGTTTATATACATTGTTTTTGCTTTTAATATTTATAAATTTCTATTAATACTTCTATTTCTTTTCTCTCGAGAAAAAACGTACTCCGACGATCACCGTTACGGTGAACCGTGTGCGTTTGATATTTCCTTCGATATTACAATACAATTTTATGATTGTCAATAGTATAGTAAATGCGTCGCGTGCATATATCCTGTATAGATGAGGATATCTTGATATCTCCACTAGCTATCACGTCACCGACAGTAGAACGAGAATCCCTTTTCCATCTGAAGGGCGTTCGGTCGCGTTATTCTAACATAAGCACTATATAGCTTTTGCGCACACCCTCTCGTCTCATCTCTTGGTTTCTATGGTGATCCGAAGAGGGGTCGCATCCCCTGTGGGTCGCCTCGCAGGTTGATTATCGTTATATATAACGTTGGCTATACATACACGATGCAATCTATAAGCAGCGAAATACTTCCGACTTTTTGCATATGTAACTGCCCGGCGAAACGACGGCCGTCCGTAACACAATATTTACTGTTTATATCTTTTCCCTACCGTCGCTTGTTATCGGTTAACATTGTTAAAAGGTAACATGATGTAAAATAACGAGAGAGTACGTAACGATCGATTTATAGTGATAAACTATAACGAACCGTAAACTTAAATCAGACTCGACGGCGCGTCTATTCATGGATATCGCGGAACTCCAAATCCGCGGGAATTTACGTCGTTAATAATGAATATACGTCGCGGTGTATATCAGCAACGAGAAAAATCCGAGTACATCTCGTCCAACGTTATAAATTGTAATTACAGCGACTGTGAAACATCGCGGTATCGCGCGTTTAACATTTTTCGTCTCTTCGTCTCCGCGCCGCGGCGGTGAACGGCGCAGAGCGGGAAACGGACGGTCTCTGGCCAAATTCCAGGGATATAAATTGTTGGGATTTCATTGTCTCCGCGTTTCCGGCAGCTTCTCTACCGAACTTTTCCACGCCGCTCTCGTCAGTCGACGAAACTTTGGAGCGCCCCGGTTGACTTTATTGAACCGGACGAACGCGACGAACGCGACGAACGCGACGAACGCGACGAACGCGCGACGAGGCAAACTGAAATAATAGTCTGCCGCCTTTAGATGATGGTATAACCCGGGCTTACCAGCACCAGCGTCATAATTACAGACCGCGATCGATAACTTATCACTTGGAAACTCGAAGCACGTACACCAAGCTTACCTCAAGTTAATAGTTCTTGAACAAATACGATGCAACTTTCCTGTATCCTTTTTAGTGTGGCTTTTAGCATGATTTATTATATAAAGGGAGCTTTATGATTTTTTTTAAATTCTCCGGAAAAGAAAAAACAGTTAAGTAACTTATATTTTTAAACATACATGGAAAGGATGATTTTGCTGAAATGTCTAAAAATTTAATTAGATACAGATCTGAACGTATATTGTAATATTGTTGGACCAGCAAAATAATTACGATGTTCAAACTGGTTGCTAGAATGTTAGAACTTTTTGCAGCATTGTTCATCATGCTTGAGAGTTCTACGTATAATTATTTTGGTGGACCAACAAAATTATTTTTGGATTTATCTAAATTTTTAGATACACAGAAAAATATCATTCTGATGCTAAAAAAAGTGATTACTCAATTTGGTTTTTTTTTTTAAATAACGTTTATCTTTAACAAAGAAATTCTTGATAATCATATTAAAATATACAAATTTTAGAAAGAGTTTATTATTATGTACTAAAAACAGTAATTTATTTTTGAAGAATATTATAAAAATTGTTCTAAAAAGTGATTTTATATAATAAGCAAAATTGAATTTGATTTAATTTAATAATCCTAATTGAATTTACTAGGATATTCAGAATATATTTTATATAAATTTATTTTATATAAATTTACTTATGAAATTATGATTAGCGGATATATAAACTTTTGAAATATTTGAAACAAGTAATTATTACTTACGATATGTATTTTTCTGTGTATAGAAAAATTATTTTTTTTTCATTTGAATTTTACTTATAAATTAATACTTTTTTCTACAACAAATCCAAAATATTTAAATTTTTCATTATAATACTTGATATTTAAACATAGAATCGATTAATTTGAATAAATTATTTATAAAATTATTTTCTGAAAAGTATATTATGTGAGATATACATGTATAGTATTGTATAGTTACACGTCGGACATGAGTAATTAATTATCTTTGATGACTCTTGTGATGTTGGAGGAACATTAAGTATTTCATTCAATGAAGTTTAAACCACTAGGAGTTGGTAAAATTTTGAGAGTCCATTAGATGGATAATCCATGGGGATTATACGAGAAGTTTTGTTAAGGCGGTACATATAACTCGCGCGAGTGAAACACGGATTATGGAACTGACGCAGCTTATTCTCACGTTGAAGTGATCGAGAGCACTGTGGATTAAACTTGTAGATGAATGAAAAAGGTCACGTCGCGCGCTTAAATGAGCATGTCATTGATGTGCGGCCTGAGAAGACGATTAGCGAAGACGAGTAACGAGCGGTGAACGATTTTGTGTAATTGCTTGGTGCTTCGAGCACGTTCCTAGAGAATCGTGAAAATAAACGAGGAACCGATTATCACCCACCCGATGAGCATCTTTGCACCTTTCTCTGCCGAGTATCATCTCCGAGAACAATTCAAAATGAATCGAAATCTTCGTGACTATTTCAGATTGTTTCCAATTTATTCTCTGCGTGTTTATGTGCTAAAAAGAAATTTAAACACGTTTTAACAACAAATTAATATTCAAATAATGGACAATTGGGAGTAATAAAAGTATAATTATAAATTACAATAACTGTGCGGTAATTGAAGTTTAATGCAGAAAAAGTGTTGAGCGAATTATCAAAATTATTTAATTATACAAAATACTTTTGTATAATTTTGTAGTTACATAAACATATATAAATATACATTTACGAATTAAAACGTATCATTGTGTTGATAGAAAATGTTTCAAATTTAACTTCAACTTTTCAGAAGAGCATTTTCACATTTCTGAATTGGAATGTTTTAAGTAATTAGGAAAATGAATATCCAATTTCTGTAACTTCACTTTCAATACAATTGTAATAAATTGTAATACGTACATTAAATTTACATTATAGGTACTTAAATTTTGAAAGCTTAATAAAATTTTAAGGAATTAATATAATTGTGTAATATAAATACAATTTCAACGTGTAATTGTGTTATATAATTATAATGTATTCTTTAAAATTATGTTTTCAAAATTCGAATATTGCAAACTTGATATAAATTTTATGTATAATGTGAATTATATAACATATATTTTATAATGTATAAATTATATATAATTGTATAACATATAACAATTAATTATAATTGTAATGCATTATAGGTTATATAATTATAATGTATGCTTTTAAATTATAAATTTGTAAAATTGGAACTATTTAACCATAGTACAGTGTATAAAATTTAATTTTTTGTCAGAGTGTGATAAAACAAATGAATTAAAAGTGTATTATTTTCCTACAAAAAAATATTATATATAGTATTTACGGTCAATTTTCTTTTATTATCTCATACATGCATAATTTTTTATTTATCTTCTTTTTCTATCAATGCAATAATAATATCCGCATAATACTACATTGTTTATAAAATGGGAAAAGCATCTCTGCAAAAATTGGTTTAATCCTTCAGATAAATTTTTTATTGGAAAACGAGAAAGTGCAGTAATAAATAGTCAGAAGTAGTTCAGATAGAAAAATTGTTTTTATCAATATTAGGCAATGCTCGTGATGCTTTTTCGATGAATAGTTACTAAATGTTGGCATAAGTATAACAAACGCATAAGTAAATACAGGATAAGTAAGGATAACGTTTGTCGAAACGGCTTTAATTAACCGCGTCGCTCAACACATGCGCTCCGATCGAGCGCTCGATTCTCGCCGTGGTTCGCGGAGCGACCGCGGGGCGGCGCTGTTGGCGGCGTGGCTGGTGGCGCTAGTTGTCAATGGCGCCGGTTGATAGCGGGATCGTTGTTAGTCACAGCGGGACCACGTACGGTGGCGGTTGTGGAGTTAGAATCGTCAACGGCAAGGCAGACAAAAGGAGAGAAACGGGGCGATCGCCGAGTGGACATCGAGGGGAGGATTGGAACAGCCGAGTGCCAAGAGGAGGGTGACAGAACACGAGCCGAACGAGCGTTCCGGCGTATGGTGTAAACGCGCTCGCGTCCTGGCAAGTAAACGCGTAAAGTCCTCCCGTTGCCGTCGTTGAGTCGTCGTCGTCGTCGTCGCCGCCACCATCGTTTCTCGAACGTGCGCTATAATTCGGTACGTGGGCTCCCCGAGAACTTGTGCGCGCGCGCGCGTGCGTGTGTTCCTCGCGTGTGTTTTCGTCGTCGCGTTGAGTGCGGTAGCCCGAGGAAGGTGGACGGTAAACGTCCGGTTGCCGTCGCTTGGTTCCGTTTCCGTTTTTGTGTTTTTAACGTCGTGCCTCCGCGCTGTGCACGGCGAAGAGACGTGCTGCTGCCAAGCAACGCGTAGTGCATCCAACTGCGGAGAGATAGATAAAGAGAGAGAGAGAGATAGGAGTGCCAGTTGGAACAAAAGGAAGAGGAGGAGGAGGAGGAGGAGGAGGAGCGGAGGAGGAGGATACGGTGGAGGTGAAAGGGGGGGGGAGGCGGTGGTGCGGAACGACGGATTTGTTTTCTTGCACAACGGTGGAGCAAAACGGCCTCAAACTGTGGGGCTCTGGGGCGTTTTTCCTTCCTCCGCAAGGGATGTACTACCCTGTAAGTGTTTATTACGTTACTACTGTTAAAAACAGCTATGCTAGATGAGAGGCGAGTGATAACGCGAATCGAGGCAGGAGGCGTCTCTCTCGCTACGGCCGCGCCGCGGCTCTTAAATAAATCAACGGCTGCGTGCCGACTGCACGTTCCCTCGTCCGTCGTTTGCACGAGGCTCTCTGACCGCCGACGTCGAAGCGTCGGTTCGATAGAAGGCGCCGGATCGGCGGACCACGCTTCTCCGTCGGCGCGTTACCCGCGCCGACAGAGAACCCGTCACTCGCCGAGAGGCGAGAAACAACCGGGCGGAAGTGGCGGGAATAGCCGATTTCTAAACCGACTTCTTTTCTCTTTTAAAAACGGCTTCTTTGGAATGAATTTTTCTAAATACTGAAATCTCAATCTTTTTAAGTAAGATTAACTCCAAAAAATTGCGAGTGTTAATTTTAATTCTTTCAAATAAAAAAAATTTCATTCAATTTTCTTTTCGAGAGTGGCAGAATTTCTATTCTTTCGTACTAAGATTCACCCTTGAAGAATTTTAAGAATTCTTTTCTATTCTTAGATCCATCCACGTGGCTTGAAATCCCTAAAAATTTGAAAAGAGATAAACATATATCGTAGTCGGGTAAAAAGAGAAAGCGAAAAGAGAAATTTCGAGTGCAAAAAGTGCAAGCAACGGAGCTTTTGTGTCTGTCGGCTTCAAGATCGTTAGGATTTTTCGGGAACGTACGAATCCGTTGCATCCACGCGTCAGGTCTTTCCTAACGCGATGATTCGTCATTGTCAATTAATAATATTGTTTATTTTCCCTCCTCGCGTAGAAGCGCGCTTGAGTTTCTGTAATTTTAACACGTGGCTTTTTTCCAATCGGCACGACGGCACGGCGCAACTCTCATCGATCCAATTCGTGTCTGTCCTGCCGGATTGCCTTCGCGTCCTTTTCCTTTTTCTCTCTCTTTCTCTCTTCGACTCCTCTCTCGTCGTTTCCTCGTCGCGCCAACGCGGGCGACGGATAAGACGCACGAAATCGCGTGAGAGCGTCGAGAGAACCTGACGGCGAATGTCCTTGAGCGTCGTTGGCGTCCACTGTTCTCCCGGCTGGTGAATCTTTGTTCCGTGGTCGGGATTACAGTGTTGTAGGTTACGTTTGCCTCTGCGCCCACGAACGGGAAAGCGAGAGATAGACGGTGGGAAAGAGAGGGAGAAAGAGAAAGGGAAAGGACGAGGGAGCGTGGGAAAGAGCGAGAGAGTCGGGCTAGAGCTCGTTTTCGGACCGACGCGACGCGGCCGGAGAGAGAAAGAGAGAGAGAGAGAGAGAGAGAAACAGAGATGTAGACGCCTCGTTGTCGTCGATGGCGCACAGCTCGTTTTAGTGAAACGAGCACAGAGATTCTCTTTGATTTATTCGACAGCGAGAGGGACGCCGTTGTCCTATGCGACGCATTGCGTCGCGTCGCGTCGCGTCGGCCGAGTGAAAGTAAAATAGCCACGTCGCGTCTCGATGAGCATGCGGTAAATTAAAACTTTGGTAAACAACGTTTCAAAATAATCCGCGGGGTTAATGATAACGCTTGAATGTTTTTTGATAATGACACGTTATCTTATTTATCTTTATATTTTGATACAAAATTCTTATTAGAGTAATTGTTGAGGAACATGTATCGTTGGGAATATTACAGTGTCGTGCTTTATTCGAATATTAGTGTATATTTTCAGATTTTATGAATTGGGTTGAATTTCCCATAAAAATTATGGGAAATTATTTCAAGACAAGTCCCTCATTTAGAATTAATCTGAGTTTAACGAGAAACAATAATAGTTTGTCGATGACAATAGAAATAGAATGAAACGAATAAAATAATTTATTTTTCTAGAGCAAAAATAGAACATGTAATAAGAATGAGATGTATTTTTTAAATAAATACATGTTTATATATCGTAGATTATTTATATTTAAAAAAGTTTATATTTAAAAAATCGAATAAACGAGGGAACATGTATATCGTTTGAATATTGCATTGTACTATCATGCTTTATCTGAATGTAAATTAACGTTTATTCGAGCATTTCTTCCTACACGGAGAGTACGATTTTGCTGAAGTATCTAAAAATTTAGTTAGATACAGACCTAAAAATAATTACGTTGGGCTAAATCAAAATAATTATATCGGACGTTTAAACTAATTACTAGAATGTCAAAACTTTTTGCAGCATTGTTCATTATTTGAATTTCCTATATAATTATTTCGATGATGTAACAAAGGTTATTTTTAGATATGCATCTTAATTTTTAAATACTTTAGCTAAATCGTTTTTTCTGTACAAGATTTATGAACGTATAATGAGAACGAGATATTTATTCAATGATCTTGGGAATTTAACATATTTTTTTTCTAAACACCTATGTATCTACAATAGATATGTGTCGATATAGGTAGATCATGTAAATGAGAAATGCAGTTTGAAAAAAATCGAATAAATCGAAGTTATTTCGCTTTCTCTGCCGAACATACCTTCAGTAAAAATTTCCGCAATTTTTAACGTATCTCCGTTATCGATATATTTAAAATAACGTGTAACTACAGGCGTCTGAAATTTTTGTTGGAGCGAGGGTAACGTGAAACGAGCATGGAATGAGAGGTTTTTGTTCGGGCTTCGGCTGCGCTCGCACGTTATTTTTGTAAACGCGTTTCGTATATGCTCCAGCGCAGGTAGACGCTCTAAAACGAAAAGGAATACCGGCTTTTCCGGACCGAAGCCGGCGAATAGTCCCCGGGTTCCCGGGTCCCTGGGTTTGCTCGAAACTCTCGAAAGATAGGCCTCCCCTCCCTTCTCCTTTGTACGCACAGTTGTCGGTAGAAGATTGAATTTCGTTCACAATGAAGCCAACCTTTTTCTTTCCGTCCTTGGTAGGCTGTGTACATTTGGATGTGAAGTTCCACAAGTCGATAGTTCCATGAGAGAACCGTCCAGAACTTAAAGAATAAAACGGCGTCTACAATGAGATTTTAAGACATGAAAACTTAAACGGAAAGAAGCTAGCTTGCTAGTTATCTAAAAATTTAGCTAGATACAAATTTGAAAAATAATTTTATTGGATTATTCAAATAATTATATAGGACGATCAAATTGATTATTAGACTCAAAACTTTTTGCAATTTTGCTTATTGTACTTGAGATTTTTATTTTGATGATTCAACAAGATTATTTTCAGATTTGTATCTAACTAAATTTTTAAATCAGCAGAATTGTTCTTTTCGTGTAAACTTTAAGCCGTAAGAAATCATGATCGATCTCCTCACATTCAATTATGATTTGGTCAATTTCTCACGGTTCAAACCTTAAGTTTTATGCTTTAAAATTTCATTGTATTAGGTGTTGGAATTAATTCGTAGCGTTTTACAAGTGATGGGAAGTACTTTCATTAATGTATTTTTTAATGCTCATGTGAAATAAATAACATTCTTTCATTAAAAACGCTACGAATTAATTCCAACACCTAATAAATGTCGCTTTAGAAATTGAACAGCGTTCTGAAATTTCTATGCTAGACGAAATGCTTAAGATAGAATGAGACAAATATCTATACATTCAAAGCCTTTTATCCACGATGCTAGAAATCAGTCCGAGATCTTGGACGGAGAAAGAATTGACTAATCGCATTGGTCATGTGTGTCGAATAGGTCAAAATGTGATTTGTTAATTCTTTCTCTGTCCGAGATATCGGAGTGATTTGTGATTTCTAGCATTGTGAGCATTAAATTTTTGGTCCAGTTTTTCATTTTCTGGTCAACTTGTGTAGACTTAAGCTGATGATGTAAGAACTGTGTTTTTAGCTATGTTTGATCACTAAGCTGATAATTTTGTAGTGTGAGTAACTTCAGAAGGTACAAAACCATCAGCTTAGTTAAACATAGCCAGAGGAACACAATTTTTGCATTAAGTTAAACGACCTTACGTTTGAAAACCACAAGTTAAAATGAAAAAACAAACCTTATTCTACAATGAAAAAAAAATTTAATACGTATTTCTAAATAATACTAAGTAAATAAATTCACATTAAATAAATGTTTACTGAAAAAAAAAATTAAATCGAATTAATAGTTTTTGTACCAAATAAGTATATATTTACATTTTGTAAAAATGTTTAAACAAATATTCATATTTTTTCAGTGTATTTTATGTATTCCTTTCATTCTATCTTAAGCATCTTAATATAATAGATCAATCAAAAGTTCAAACGATCAATTCTTGAGGTTGTCTATTCGAAATCAAAATTTCGTGTCGTCCGCTTCGAAAATCGAGGAATCGAGGAAACGAATGCGATATCGATTGTCTCTATATGTATACTACATCGAGCCTCGTAAAACGATCGATCGTTTGGAAAACGCAATGTCGCGCGACAAATCGACACCGCACGCAAGGACTCGATTTCTCGCGAACCGAGAATTTCTTCGCGATCTCGGGGAAGGTAAATCAGGGTCACGCGCTACCAGAATATTGCGTTTTACGATACGACAATTGTAAACACTTCCGTCCCGGCTTGTTTCTCTAGGTTCGCCTTCAACATCACGTTTTTCCAAGCGACTTGGATTTACACCGCATCCGCTCGCCGCACGGAAAACGATTTAGCATATTTTTTCATTAAAAACATGCAAAAAAAGCGCTGACGTATAATTTCCCCCCTTTTTTTTTCACCTTTTAATCTTTCCCCCTCGGGCGAGTAAAATAATTCTCGTCGTGTGACAAAGTACGGTATACAGTTGCGCGCCCGGTCGTTCGCGTCGGCTGCAATAAATCTTGCGTGTGTGTTACACCTTACACCGCAAAATAATTTGGAGCAGGGAGTGGAGTACATGTACATATACCTCGTTGCTTCCTCGGAGCCTTTCTATCTTGTCGTAGAGCAACAGAGCCGAGCACGTGTTTTTCTTACGTACGTTGTTGTGGTGCGTGTTGAAACAGTGTTCTCTTACAACGTCTTGTTGCGTCACGTTGTC